TTAGTGATAGTGACAGCTGGAGGAGGACAGTGATTATGGGAGAGGTAAAATAATTTGAAAGAATTCTTACTGGACTTTGTGATGGATTATAATTAGGAAAATAAATGCTGTAAGGGTCATGAGTGACTCAAGGTTCTTATTCCAATATTTTGTTGGGTATCTTCTAAGACAAGTATAATTGCATAAGAATGCATTTTGTGGGAATTCCTCCAGATCTTTTTGTGACAGTTCACTTGAGATGCCTGAGCTACTTTGAGACACATATGGAGTCAGTCAGGAAAAGAGTGGGGTAAGAAACCTAACTCTGCTTCCTCATAATTTTGGTAATCCACAGTTACTCCCAAATTGACAAATATGGTCAGTAAAAGGAACTTAATACTTCATTTCTTTAAATCATCCCCACTTTGAGCAGATGACTTGGCAACTGCAAAGTGAGCTTCTACCAAGTCCTGTCTAGAAAATGAGCTGTGCCCATTATAGGTACATCTACTTCCTGCTTTGCTGCATGCAGAGAAGTTATCATCATGTAGAAAGATACACATCATGGAAAAGGCAGAATCTGGTACTGACTTTTAGAATAGTGAAGAATCTGAAATGGGCAATTTGAATTGTTTATTGTTAAAGACAAAAATAAATTCAGTTATGTCAGACAGCAAGAGCACTGTCACTTGGAGAATTTTAGAACTTGACAGAAAGTCAGGGTCCCTTGTCTTCCTTAATATCTAGAGACATTTATCTGTAGTGGTTCCAAAAGTACAATGGATCTCATTCATGGGACAATAATACTTTTTGGCAAATGAACAGAAGACACTTAATAGTTGTAAATACACATTGTTCTTATTTTCCAGCAAAACTGTTAGTTTCTGCATAGTCTCAATATGGTCATGCAATACTCATCTCCATTTACACAAAAGAAACAAGCTCAGAGAGCTCCAGAAATGAAGTAAAACTTTTACATGTGATGATTATGCAGTAAACATGTACATAGGTCCATCTCTAGAAGTATGGATTGCAGGTTGGTAATCCTTTATTCTATGTCTAATATCCACTTATGAGTGAGTACATACCATGTTTGTCTTTCTGTGTCTGAGTTATCAACCTCAAGATGTTTGTTTTTTCTAGTTCTATTCATTTGCCTGCAAATTTCATGATGTTGATGTTCTTTACAGCTGAGTAGTACTGCATTGTGTAAATGCAACACATTTTCTTTATTGATTCTTAGGTTCAGGGGCATCTAGGTCTTTTTCAGGTTCTGTCTATTACAAATAATGCTGCTATAAATATTGCTGAGCAAGTGTCATTATGGTATGATTAAAAATCCTTTGGGTATATGCCCAAGGGTGGTATTGGAGGGGTCATGAGATAAACTGATTCCCAGTTTTTTGAGAAACTGTCATATTGATTTCCAACGCAGCTGCACAAATTTTCACCCTTACCAACAATAAAGTAATGTTCCCCTGATTTCACATCCTCTCCAACATAAGCAATGTAAGTGTAGTTCTTAATTGGTCTAAGTAATAAAAATCTGGAGTCAGATATATAGGAAAATGTTACCTTATTAGCTTCAGCAGAAAAGAGAGCTAGTTTCTGTTTCTCCCCACTTACATCCTCTCTCCACCCAGCCATCTCATTTCCTGTCTGTCTGTACAGTCTTCCAGACCTCTATGGTTAACTAGTGACAAGTTCCATCCTCTAATCTTCAGATAAGCTTTATTTGTACAAGGAAGATATCACCACATATTCCCATTTTTGTCTAAAAATAGAAAAGCTTGTAACTAATATAAGAAAAACTATAGGTAATATGCATAATAACTATATGCAATATTTTTAGGCAGTAAGTACATCAACAATGTCTTATCCATTAGCATTTGACAAATTCAGACAAATACTCCATTACCTATTCTTACTTGATGAATCCAAAGTCCTGTTCCTAATTTAGTTTCAATTATAATTTGCATTATCAAATTATTATTTACTGTCTTTCAAACTTGTACACATAACATATCTTTAGGGACTTTCTTTTCTGGGCCTGTAAAACAAAGAAATCTATAATTGTACTATTTAGTCTTCAACTCCCTCAGTGACCTGAGAAGTAAATAATAGTAACTAAATAGGGAATACAAGCAAGCAACTTTCAAAATATGTGAGAAATGACAGAAACAACTGGTTGCCTGGACAGCCACTCAAGTTTCCTCTGCAATGTTGGGGCATCCATATTGAACCTATAGACCTAGCATATCTGACAGACATTTCTGTGAAACAGAATATTCTGAATGACTGGACTGCCTTGTCTTGACAAGTTTTGCAGTCACATATTTTGGTGTCCTGTTTGTCCAATTTGGACAGCATATTGTCCGCAGGAGAGGCCATGGCAATTTCTTGCCCAGTGGCTTACATTTGACACAAAGAAAGTGAACTTACTGTGAAATTTCTTCAATGCCCATCATCTTCTCTGATGTAGATTGGTGCTGCCAGTAGCAGACATTCTCATTGTCATAAAAACTTCTTAAATGCCATATTCTGTAGATCTCTGAAATGTTTGAAGATGACCTGTCTTTCTAAAATATATGTTTGACCTTGTAAACATTCATAATGTGACTAAAATTTTGATTTTAATAGTTGACTAATTACTAAACTGCATTTCTTTATTATCCTGTATAGTTGCTAATAAAAAATATTCAAGGACCAGAAATTTGCATTACATTGTTAAATGAGCTGTATAGGCACAATATCGTGAACAATATTAGAAATGTTTGTAAAGTATGTTTTAACAAAATGAGTCTCAAATTTGTATCAATATATAACATTTTATGCAACATGTAAAATATTTAAAACAAGTAGTTGCTTTTTAAGAATGGATTAAAAAATCTACCTTTTTATCTCATCATATCTACTTTCTCCCTTTTTTCTTTTCAGAGTAAGTTCAATAATCTACCCTTTTTATCTTATATATGTATTTCTCATTAAAAAGAAGCCTTGAATCTAATCCCCTTCGTTGAAACGTCTTCCTTGATGTAAGCAACAGCATTCTATAACCAATTGAGTTAGACAATGCCAGCTATCCATAACCCAATGAATAACCAAAAAGCACCTCCCCCACATTCCCACATCTTGGGAATGTGAGAATTGTGTTCTTAAAGTTGCTTACTGCTGTGGGCAACAGCATATTTAGGGGATCCTGAAAAGAAAATTTGGAATTAACTGTAAAGTCTTACAAGAGATAGCTGTATCATTTTGTCCAGTCTCTGCATGAAGGAAAAGTGTAAGGCTTGTCTTAATTCATGACTAGAGTAGTCTGTTAGGCTGGATCATCTCAGCTGGCCACCTCAAAATTGTTCTAAACAGTTTGTAGTCCAAAGTTGATCTTAAGTTGGAATTGTTTAACTTAATGTTGTTGCCAAAGCCTTGATGAAATTGTCATTGTGGGGACCCATTCTCCTTTTAGAGACTTCAAAGGTTGCTTTTAGGGATGGTCATAGTTCACTGTAGAAAGCTGATGGAGACTCAAAACCAAACTCATATACGTGAAGGTAGATGAATTCTTTTTGTAGAATTGGTTAGTACACTATGTAACTATTAAAATCATGACAAAATTATGAGATTAATAGCAACATAATAATCCTAAATATTTTTTTTTTCTGTTTCATAGCAGGTGGCTCTTCTAACATGACACAGAATTTTCAATTTTACTTTAGCAAGCATGCTTGAGTTGAGAGAAGGAATGAGTCATACTCCAACTTCAAAGTCAGGTTTAATCTTTAATTTTACTGAACTACAAAAAGATCTTTTGCATTAAATATCTATAGAGCAAAGAGAAGCAAATTTTGGAAAAAATTATGAAATGTTATCCTGTTATAAACATGATATACCAAGAGGCCAATTAATTCTTTTTTGGGACAATTTTTACTAGATTAATTGACCTTTTTCTTCAGATATCTCATTTATCTAGTAGTCTCTGGATTCCTTAGCTGGTTACCTTTATTCTCCTGAAAAGACAAAAATTAGAATCCTTCCCTAACCTTAAATTTTGTGAAGGTTCTCCTTTGGCATATATCTGATCCAATGAAAAACATTTGTTAGTTTTATAAGTTAGTTTAGATTAAATAGCCATGCTGTTGGATGAATAATCATCTCTTCTAATTAAAGAGTGTCTTGTTCAAATCAAAACTTTATCAATTTTGATAGTATCCATAAATTTTATTCACCTGATGAAACTAAAGCAAAACTTCTTCTGCAATGTAACACATGTCCTTGTTCCATTCAGAGGTCAACACATCTTTGAAATATACTGGTTATTTTAATTCCATAGTTTTTTTTTTTTCCTATCATCCAATGGCTTTCTACATCTGTTCTTCCCTTCTCATTAGCATTTAAAAATTCAAAGTAAATAAAGAACTATGCAATCTATTTCTGTATCATCCCTTTCTGTTTATTTATCATATCATTTAGAGTTTCCTTTGATCATTCTGTGACTGCCTGCCATGTAGGATTGTTTGGTATACCTGTATTTATATTACAACAATCAAAAAGCTTTTTCATTTTCTTAGAGACATATTCTGGATCATTGTCTGTCTTTATTTCTGCAGGTATACCCATGGTGGCTATAACATCTAGCAAATGTGGAATTACTGAATCAGGCTTTCCTGAATTCAAAGCAATTGCACACTGAAAACCTGAATAGGTATCAATGGTATGATATACAAATTTTAATTTTCCAAATTCCACAAAATGGAACACATTCATCTGCCAGGTTTCATTTGTTTGAGTACCCTTTGGGTGACTTTCTGCAAGTAGTTGAATTTGGTTATATAACGAACAAGTAGGACATTTTCTTATAATTTCCTTGGCTTGTTGCCAAGTGATGCAATGGGTATATGTTTATCTTATTGGTTGATTAATAAAACACTGTTGGCCAATAGGGCAGCAAGATAGGTGGGACTAGGATATGAGTAGAATTCTGGGAAATGTAGGCAGAGAGGAATCATCATGTGGCCCAGGAAGTGACATAGATGGGCAGAAAAATCACATTACAAAATGGCGCCAGCAACATGCAGCATGAATTTCCAGGTAAACATGACAAAAGCTTTAAAGGGGATTTTAGCAATAAAAGAAAATAGACCAGTACACCTTCTTGGTAACAGCATTTTCTCGGGTGGGCTCTGTTTTGCTAGAGACAAGCAGAAACTTGCACGGTTCCTTTAAGAGAGGTTTCTTGACTCAAAATAGTGGCAAAAAACTGCAGCGTTACTTTAAGAGGTCCTGCTACCAAAAAAAAAAAAAAAAAAAAGGTGTGTAAGAGCAGCTGGCACTGGCAATGACCACATTCCAAGCTGGCAGGCAACATACAGTCGAAAAAGATAAACATATTCAGTAAAGAAAGATTCAGATGAAGTAAAACTTCAAAGCAGTTTACAGTGTGTTTAAAAATATACATAGGCTTGTGAGAAAAAAGAAACAGGGTAAAGTAATTAAGAAAAAGACTAAGAAATAGAATAACTTGGTATGATGACACATGCCTATAATCCCAGTGCTTGGGAGGCAGAAGCAGCCAGATTTCTATAATTTGAAGGCCGGCATAGTATACACATGAATTCCCGGTCTGGAAAAGTTAAATAGAGAAACACTGTCTTAAAAAATGAAAAAAATAAAATTAAAAAAATAGAGTAATAAAAAGCCACATAAAGATGGAAAATACACAGAGTCTGGATACTATAAGCTATTGTGCTATCTTTGAATTGTTTGCTGAAGAAATAGCAACAACTGCTAAAAGAAATGCTGATGGATTAATCCAATTTATATATTTTAACAATGCCTTGATTTGAAAATTTAAGTATAAGTATACATTACTTTGGAAAATGTAATGTGTTTCCCCAACAAATGAAAGCTGTGGATTCCTTCCAGAATAATATGCTTTGATGAAGCAAGACCACCTAAAGCAGTGACCCACGTGATCCAACATTCAAAACAGCTGGGACAAGGAAGCCTGGTAGACCATTACAGGCAGGATTTCTGCATCTTCTTAGGATCCCCAAACAGAAGGGAGAAGTTTGGAGATAGCAGTGCCCACATTCCCAAATATTGTTTATAAGCGTTTGTCTTCATTTAAATGGGGTTGATTATAAATGTTTAATGATCACAATAAATCTCCTTCTAAAGAAAAAAAGGAGAAAACTATATAGAAATGAATACTCTGCATTGGTATGGATTTTCATTTATTGATACAAAGTTTAGGTCAATTTTGTGATATGTATATTTCTCCTCTTGTTTAGGTATTGTGTTTATATAGCTCATTTAAAATGCAATGTATAATTAAATACAGATTGTATATATTCCCCTATAATAGTCAAAACTTAGGTTATTTTTCTAGATATACTGAGATGTATTTGAAATGGATATTCTTCAAACCTTTCCAAGACCCACAGGGAATTTAGAGTGGTTTATGGTTTTTTCATGACAGTGAGACACAACTGCTCCTGTTAACACTAATTATGTCAGAAAGGAGGACGGGCATCGAAGAAACTCAGTATGGAGTTTGCCGTTAACATGGCAAGATTAGCTATTTGGGCAAGAAACTACTCTTGTCTGGACTGTTTGATAAACTGAATATTCAGTGTCCCCAGGGCAGTGTCTGCTGAACTTGATGGGAAAGTCCTAAAGGGCTCCTGCTTCATGGCAGAGTCCGCCAGACATTCTGCAGGACACAGAGAAAAATGACTGCAAACTGCCAATACTGGTGGGACAATTTCAAATTTCCTGCTTTGCTGAGAAGTCTGCCAGATACATATGGCCTATGGATTGAAGAAATTTGCTCCAACATTACAAAGGAAATTTGGGTGACTGTCCAGGTAGCAAGATGTCTCTTTCAATTCTAGAGTTTATATATTAATTCAGTCTCTTGCAGGTTCTTCAGCTGTTAGTCCAGAGTCAGTGAGTACACACTTGCTCATGTTCACTGTTTCTGTAGGTATCTGGGTCATGGTCTTGACCCCTTTGCTCGTTTTATCACTTCTCCCTCTCTATTACTGGACTCCAGGGGTACAGACCAGTGCTTATCTGTGGATCTCTGCATCTTCTTGCATCAATTACTGTATGAAGGTTTTATGATGAGAATTAAGTTAGTCATCACTGAATATAGGGTAAGGGAAGTTAAGACACCGATTTCACAATTGATTAGATTCTTGCCTGGGATCATCCTTGTGGATTCCTAGAAGTATGTCTAGTGTCAAGTTTCTTGATAACCCCATAATGGCTCTCTCAATTAAAGTATCTCTTTCCATGCACTCCTTCTCTGTCCTTCCCCCAACTTGAGACCCTCAGTATCCCTCATGTTCTCCCCCATTTGTCTCCTCCCACCTCTGCTTGTCTCCTCATCTCTCTCCTCCTACCTCCCCTACTTGCTTCATGCTCCAAGTTTATTCAAGAAATCTCATCTACTTCCCCTCCCTGGGGGTATCCATGTATGTCTTGCTTAGGGTTCTCCTAGTTCACTGGATTCCCTGAGTTTGTGGCCTGTATCTGTTATCTGTTGCTATATGTCTAATATCCACTTATGAATGGATACATACCTTGCTTTCATTCCTGGGTCTGGGATACCTCACTCAGAAATTTTTTCCAGTTCCATTCATTTGCCTGAAAATTTCAAGATGTCATTGTTTTTTTGTTTTTTGTTTCCTCTGAGTAGCACACCACTGTGTAAATGTACCACATTTTCTTTAACTGTTCTTTGATTGAGGGGCATCTAGGTTGTTTCCATGTTCTGGCTATTACAAATAATGCTGCTATGATCATAGCTGAACAAATGTCCTTGTGGTATGAGTGTGTACCCTTTTGGTATATTCCCAAGAGGGGCATTGCTGAGTCTTGAAGTAGATTGATTCCCATTTTCTGAGAAACTGCCATACTGATTTCCAAATTGTCTGTACATGTTAGAATTTCCACCAGCAACTGAGGAGTGTTTATTTACTCTACATTCTTTCCAGAATAAGCTTTCATTAGTGTTTTTGATCTTAGTCATTCTGACTGGTGTACAATGGTATCTCACAGTTGTTTTAATAGGCATTTCCCTGCTGGCTAAGGATGCTGAGCAATTCCTTATGTACCTTTTGGCCATTTGAGATTCCTCTGTTGAGCATTCTTATTTTGGCTCAGTACCACATTTTTAAATTTGACTATTTAATATTTTCATGTTTAATTTCTTACATTTATATATCTGCATAGTCACAAACACATTTTGTGAACTAATTTTATCACTAACTTTAATAAAACTAATGTCTTTAATAATTTCTGTTGCACATATATACATATACATACATATATATTTGAATGATTTTGTGAAAAAATCTACCATCATTTGTAATAAAGCCAGTTATGACATGTGCATATTGGAATCTACCAACTTGGGGACACTGTATACTGTGTCTTCCATTATGATGAAGGCAACCACTATTTGGGTCATGGTAAAATACACTGCATGATGCAGATTACATACTTTATTGAAAACAATTTTGTAATATGTACAATCAAGGCATTTAATCATCCATGAACCAACTGATTGATTTTTATAATATGAGGGTATACTGAATATCCTGAGTGACAACTGTAATGATAAATCATGAATAATTTGTTTTTACATGATTGAATCAACCTCAGAATTCAATACCAATGAGTCAAGAATATTGAATAATACCATGTTTCTACTCGTGTGATTACTGCTCCCATTTAGGGCAGGCATCTGTGAGGTGAAATAAAAAAGGAGAAAAAATTTAAAAGTTATTGGATTTCCTTCATATTGAATGTATGAATTTTACATTGGTGAAATGAAAACAAGCATCTTTGTGATTTTTTTATATTTCATGTCAGTTTACAAAAACTGATTTACCTGCTTCATAGATATTTTTAATATTTTCAAGAGGGATTTTGTAGTTATACGTCAGCTTCACATAATCTTTCCACATTTCTTCAGTAATCTTTTTTCCCTTTGCTACATTTAACAGAGCAAAAGTCAGCAATGTTCATTATAATCACACCTAAATGTCTGAATTCATCAAATTGTCATCAGTTGGTAAATCCTGCTACCTCATCCCAAACTTCCTAATGATGATGCTGTCAACCAAATCATTCTGAAGCTGGGCCAAACATTCTTTCTGCATATAAATGATTAAATTTCTATCCAATTATATCTAAGACTCTGATTTAAAATCAGGACTATTAAATTAAAATTATTATCCTGTACAATTCAGCTCAAATTTCAAACGATACAGATTATGTTTGAAAACACACAAGGAAAAACCTTCTTACACCAGTGTGCCATGCAAGGAATTGCAGTGACACAGTTGTGTTGCAATTAACAAACAGAAAAAATAAAAAACAAGTTTTCTCCCATATGAGGTTTACCTACCTAGTGCTGCAATAAGAATCTGCATTTTCCCCAAATTATTACGAAAATAGGCTTCTAATAGGATGGTAGTGTTTGAAACAACGTGTAACAGAATATAAAATTGACTTTGGCCTGGAAAAAAGTAATTTTTCTTCATTAGAACATGGTGTAAATTCTCCTATATGCTTATTTATTGTTTATTTTGAGATTTTAATACAGTAACAGCATTTTGCCTCTTCCATTTCCTCCTTAAAGTCATAGTGTATGCCTCAGAACAATCTCCTTTAAATTCATGCCATTTTTTCACTGATTATCAGGGCAGGCTTATGTTCATTAGTATTGCTATATATTGTACATATTATTCTACGTATTATACTATATAAACAGTAATAAATCATAAGGTAAATTATTATATTTTATTCATAAACATAACTCTTTGAGACCATACAATGTTACTTGTATGTATCTGATAATTTATTTTTAATTGTATTCCTTCTAAAAAAAACATTGTATAACAATTCTTTCACAATAAATCCAGTATTGCTACTAAACCACTATAAAATATGTTACTATTTTTTGCATAAAATTATTGAGTCAGGAGCCAGGCTTTAGCGGGTTACACCTTTAATCCCAGCACTCAGAAGGCAGAGGCAGGCAGATCTCTCTGAGTTTGAGGCCAGCCTGGTGAGTGCCAGGATAGACTCCAAAGCTATACAGAGAAACCCTATCTTGAATCACTCCCCAAAAAATATTGAGTCAGGGAGATATTCCCTTAACTTCTAACATAAAATATAAATTCATGAACATGCCTGTACTTGACCAGCTTCAACAAAACCTGTATTTAATTAATTATTTGTTTGTTATTGTATTTTTGTACCATTTAGGAAAATTCATATGTGCATTGTTTTCTTCATGATCCTGAAAGGCAAAAAATGGAGATTTTACTCACGTCTGGTTCTGCCTCCATGTGGTGGTGAGTAAGAGTAGATGTGCTGTGGGAAATGAAAATTGGCATTACGAACCACCCAGACCCCAATGGCATATTCAGTCCAACTCCTTATGAAGCATTCCATAAGGGTAATATGTGCTGTAATATAAGACACAATGGACAGGTTATCTATTAAATATCAGATAGGTTACAGAAAATATAAATAACACCTCCATTCCTCAACCAGAGATACTCACATGTCCTAAAACAGTATTTATATGGAGATCTATCGGCCCAAAGTGTGTGTAGCTGGCACTTCTCATTTATTCTAAACAATAAAACAAACAATAACCACTTGTTATTTAACATTTATTATCCAGCATGCATTTCTGTCTAAAGGGGATTAATCTGGCTGAAAGGGAGATATGTTCACTGTTATGTCTCTATTTCCTGACATGCTATACATGGATTGTAAATATTTTCATTAATTGTATTCTTGAGTGGTGATTCCTTTCAGGAGTGGACCAACTTTCTGTGTAAACTGGGATGTGTAGATTCAAATGTGTCTCAGAACCATAATGGACAGCATTTCCCAATCACAAACGTGATATCCATGACTTCATTAATAGTAGGTATCCTATTATCAGGTTGGTTTTCAAGAGGAATAACATTTTTCACAGCAAGGTAATAAACACTGCATTTGATATTTTCTGTATCCATATTATACTTCGGTAAACATCGGTGTCTTTTCTACATGAATTTTTTATTCCCCAAGTTCGAATTTTCACTGTTTTAATAGAAAGAAAAATTAAAACAAGATATGAATATGAAAGCTTAGTACTTGTAGACGTAGTGACTCTCAGCTCCGGCTGTCATTGATTTATTATTAAATCTACAATATCTTCCCATTTCAGAAATATATGGGGAATGATTTAAGTCCCATTTCAACAAATTATTTCTTAAACTTGAATCAAATGTTCTTACCTAACATAGAATGTCATGCTCATGAGTGTGTAATTGTTAAAAAACTTCACTTCACGCATCAACATCCTCACTTCACTATTTTCTTCTGTCAGACTCACAATTTTGGATGATAGGTAGATGGTACTAAAATTCCCTGAAAACTAAAAATTAATAGGAATTTGATTCGTAAGTCAAAAGACCTGGGTTCAAGTCCCAGCCCCACATTTTGGCATGCAATGTAACTTCATGGCTTTTGTTGGTTCTGCTCATACATAATGTAACATGAAGCCCAAACACACACACACACACACACACACACAATGACAAAATAAAGTAGTGAAAAATTTAATATAAAACATTAGTTAGAAAACTAAGTAAATATAGATTTGCATCTAGAGAAATAGACAATATTTTTTATCACATATAATGTGATAACAGCATTATTTGTATTTCTGTTTATACATTGAAAATGCCTTCTATATTATCTGAAAACATACACACATTTACTTAATAAAGGATAACAGTTCTATAGATCATGCAAAATATGATTGAAGAAAAAATGTAAAATTTTATAAAGTAAGCTTCGATGCACATAAATAATTAAAGGAAAGCATAATAAAATCTGTACAGAATACATCTAAAGCATATTTGTATGATAAAATATCTTTTTATCCCAAGGCATTTGGTTTAGTTGTCCACAGGAAAATCACTGTGATCCCTTGAGCAAGGAATTAATACTCTACATTTTGAGTGGTTTTGCCTAATATTTTCATGTGCCCATGGTTATTCTCTCTCTCTCTCTCTCTCTCTCTCTCTCTCTCTCTCTCTTACACACACACACACACACACACACACACTCAAATAATAAAAAATAATTAAGTCTTTTTGTTTGATGCATAACTGGATTATAATTCATGTCAATATTAACCCATACATTGACCACAGGAGGACAACTCTAAAACAGAGAGATCCATGCTTAAATTCATAACACACAATGTATTAGATTGATTTAAATTTTTTTGTTAGTTTCACTAAATTCATCCCTGCATTCTTGTAGAATAGTGAAATACTTTATTCAATCATGTATTAAATTTCAGCTATGAACATATGGCTAATTATATGACATATATATGAAATTAAGAATAACATGGCATTTAAATCAAAGGTGATGTTTCACTACCTTTGCCCAAGAAAAATGCAATTAGGTAATATGGGAAGTTCAAATGAGGAAATTATAACCTCAAAACTAAAACAAATAAGTTTTTTTAAGACATGGGACTATATTACAGTAGAAAAAGGGGGTCACCAAAACATTCATAGAATCACATTGATTATCAGGTTAAAAAGTGGCATATTCACCACAACTACTTTGCCCCTGAGTAATCCCCTGAAAGCCCATCCTTGTACCTGTAAGGGCTCCCTGTTGGCAGACACCAAACAGGCTAGAGAAGCCAGTAGAAGAACCTTCATCTTCAAGAAGTTTATCTTTCTTTTGGACTGTAAGACCAGAGTTTTTTAGGTGCCAGTGAAACGATGAACTGATGCTGCATCTAAAACATTTCAGTTTGCACAATGTGTGATGAGCCCACTTTCACTGAACCTGTTAGTTGTTTTTAAATTTCAGACAGTATGGTTGTCAGCATTTGTGTGTCTGGCATTGCTTTATTAAAACACAAGAGATAACAATTCAGTGGAGTGTAATGCATTTCAGGAACATTATGCTCCACTGAATTCTAATCCCATGATTCTGACAAACTTGTTTAGTGACATTATACTCGTGAAAGAGTAGAGTCAACATGAAAATACCTCAGGAAAGGCAACAATGACTGGTCATATTTCATGATTTATGCATGTCCAAGATCTAAGTGTTACATGTTAATTCTTGCTTTGATATGAAACATTCAATAAATGGGACTCATAAAATTTTTCCAAGGCCAAAAATCTTTCTTGCTTATAAAAAGTTCAAACTAAGTATCAATAGCAGAGAATCAGGTCAAAACTGAGTCACACAGATGACTCTCCATAACTCAGTTATGGAGACAATTTAATTAATTCTTGCTAGAGAATAATTTCTCCTACTTTTTATATAAGGAATCCTCAGAAATTTGACTTCCAATCACATAATCTCCATGTATATATAATCTTGTTTTTCTCTACTCATATTCCAAAAAATTATTTTAAAACCATATCAGACAAACAGCAATTCTTTGAATATCATATTATTAGTAAAATATTTAATAGCTGAGTAGTAGTTAAATAATGAAAACATGTTCAATTTTGTGTGGAACTCTATGATTTTAAATACAAAAATTCAATTTTTACTGAAAATCAGATGAAAGTCTGAAATGCATTCTCATGTGTTATTGGCTGGACTTGAACTTGTGCGTTTTCATGGGATGACTTTATATTTCTATGCTTTCTGATCACACTTAACAAGTCATGAGACCACAGTATGTACCAAAAAACATGACATAGATTTTTAACTTGAATATATAATAGAATATAGAAAATATGAACAAATACAACAACAATGTAGTCTCATGGCATTATTGGAGAAACCAATCACTACATTATTCATTTCAAGTTTCACTCTACATGCTGAAACCATACCTGATACTATTATTAGGCTAAGAACCTATGACTGGACAGTACATGGGTTCTAGGACAAAATCTACTACCAATGTTGCTAAATGGATGAGGTATTAAACCCATTCCTGGTGACCTATCATTATGCCCATACATCAACACATCTCTCAAACTGTTTTACCACAAAATAAGTAAAATACAAATGCATACTATGAGAAAATATTTTAAATGTTTTTTAACATTTAATAGGGCATATATTCTTTAAACTAAATACTAATGACACAATGAAAAGAAACATAGTATATGTAGGAACAATTTTTTAAAAGAAATGCAAAATGGGCAAGAGAAGGACTAGGAGGATGAAGGGACCTACTGTGTCAATCAGCTGTCTTCATCACCATGACAAAAATGCCTGATCTGGACAACATAAGGAAAGTAAGAGTTATTTTTGCTCATAGTTTCAGAGGCTTCAATTCCTAATATATTAGAGGGCATTGAAGAATAAAAAGTCACACTATGCTAGACAGAAAAGAGAATGATTGGGGTAATTGTTTTTGTTTTCTCATTTTTACTGTATCTAGGCCCCAGCATATGAGTTGGAATCCATTGTCATGAGAAGCCCTTTCACCCTAGTCACTGTTCCTTTAGAATAGCCCTTACAGACACACCCAGAAGTACACTATACTAATACATTTTTAGTCAAGTGGGAAATCAAGATCAACTAACATATAATTCTAATAAATCAAGAGTGGATTGTAGGCATTTAAACCACTCACTGTATTCACTGCTGCTCACAACACAATCATAGAAGAAAATTTCCCCAACAAAAAGGGGGATATGCCTATGAAAATACAAGAAGCTTACAGAACACCAAATAGACTGGACCACAAAAAGAAGCCCCCTCAACACATAATAAAACAAAAAATTACAGAATAAAGAAAATATACTAAGAGCAGTAAAGAAAAAGCCCAAGTAACATATGAAGGAAGACCTATCCAAATTACACCAGACTTCTCAATGGAAACTTTGAAAGCCAGAAGGTCCTGGATAGATGTCATATAAACACTAAGGGAACATGGATGCCAGCTTAGACTACTGTATCCAGAAAGCTTTCAGTCACTAAGCTGGAGAAAACAAGATAGTCCATGACAAAATCAGATTTAAGGAATACATATCCACAAATCCAGCCCTACAGAAATTACTGGTAGGGATACTCTAACCCAACAAAGATAACTACACTTAAAAAACCATAGGCAATACATAATCCCAGTTTACCGACCACCAAAAGAATAAAGCAGGGAAATTCATACATAATACCACCACCACCAACAAATCCCAAACAAACAAGAATCAACCATCAATGGCCATTAATATCCCTCAATGTTAATGGCCTTAACTTGCCTATGAAAAGATACAGGCTAACAGAATGGATACAAAGAAAGAATCTATCCTTTTGCTGCATACAAGAAACACATCTCAAAGTCAAGGAAAGACTT